TCATGATCTCACCGGTCGTGGGATCGAGCCTCGTGTTGGGCTCAGTGAGCGAGGAGCCTGCTTGGGATTCTCCCCCTCTCTCTCTGCCCCTCCCCTCCTTGAGTCTCTCTCTCTCTCTCTCTCTCTCTCTCAAAATAAGTAAATAAAACTTAAAAAAAAAAGAAAAGAGAGAGAGAGAGGCAACAAAATATACAATGTTGCTTGTATTTATGATGATCCATTTACAGCTAGAATCTGGATTTACAAAATTTCTTTTTGAAGTAGAAATATTGAAATAGAATAAAATGAGCTGATTTAAATGTGGCCATTAAGTCCATAATAAAGGTTTGCTGCTCATAGAACTGCACTGGTCGTCCTGTGTCCCCTGGGGGGGGGTGTCCTAGTGTCCCCTGTCCTAGTGTCCCCTGTGTGTGGGGGGTCCTAGGAGCTCTAACAGAGACAAGTGACCTCACTAGGAGCCACCTGGAGCCCCTCAGTGGGCTGCTGTCCACGTATGTTGGAAGCGAGCTTGGACTCCCTTCCCCTCTAACCCACTTTGACCCACTCCTGCGGGTGGGAGGGCTTGTCCCAATGGCTTTCCTCATCCGTCCAGCCTTGGCTTTCCCGGGGTCTGCGCGTGTGCTTCTGGTCTCACACTCTTCCAGCCTGTCACTCTTATCCCTGGGGCAGCAACAAGGTTAAAGAACAAACCTTATCTGTTAACCCACCTCGGGGCTCTGCGGTGCTTTGCGCCATTAATAATTTAGTGAGGTGGACTGAATTGGATTGATTCTCCTCCAAATCAATACACAAATGATTATTGTTTCAGGGCAATTCTGAGTGCTTCAGCAAGGCCGAGGGGAGCTTTTTGATTGAAAATTGGAGCAGCGCTCATCATTCAAAATTACTGTGGAGAGGGTCATGTAAACCAAGGGGTGACCTGGTGCTAACATTTTTATTGCAATAAAAGTCTTTTTTTTTTTTTTTTTTTTTGGAGTGGTGCTTTTACGACATACTTACCATCACTGTTCCAGACCTTTAATTTAAAAATTACTGCTCAGTACTGAAGGCGAAATGATTTTACTGCCGCTGGTCTATTAAAGTTGTAAGAATCAGCAAGGACTCGGAGAGTGTCTGTGGCTGGATGTGCGTGGCCGCACCAAGCCCGTCACCACGGGTGTGCCTGTAGATGTGGTGGGGCCGGGTCAGCGGGCGAGGGCTGGGGGTGCCCAGGCATCTCAGGAGCAGGCACTCAGCTCCTGCCCCAGCAGCCCCTGGCTGACCATGGCTCCAGGAGGGGCAGCGTCACCAGGAAGCCACTCCAGGTCCAAAGCAGCAACCCAGACTGGCTGCCTCACCCCTGCCCCTCCCCCGAGTTTAGGTGGAAATGTCACAACCCTGAATTTTGCCAGTTTATCTTTAGTATTTTTTTTTCACTCTGGTAGAATATGCATAACACAACATTTACCATTAAACACAGTTTTTTTTTAATGTTCCTTTATTTTTGCAAGAGCATGAGTGGGGGAGGAAGGGGACAGAGGATCTGAAGCGGGCTCTGCGCTGACAGCCCGATAAGGTGCTCGAACTCACGAACCGTGAGATCATAACCTGAGCCACAGTTGGACGCTTAACCAACCGAGCCACCCAGGCGCCCCACAAAACTCACCATTGGAACCACTTGCAGCGTGTGGTTTCAGTGGCATTCAGGACAGTCGCACTGTTGTGCAGCCTTCATGACTACCCATCGCCTGAAAAGGAAATTCTCGTACCCGTTAAACAGTAACCCCCCC